CACGGGTACAACAGCTAGTTATATATAAAAAACTAGACTAGTTATTTTTGTTATCAAAGTAGTGGATTCACCAACATGACATCATACTAATATTATAAATGTGAAAGTTTGTGTGTTTTTGTTTGTTTGTATGTATGTTTGTTTGTTTGTTTGAAGTTCAATCACGCTTTAACTACTGGACGGGTTGGGCTGAAATTTGGCTTGATGATAGCTCACATTCCCGATTAACATATAGGCCGATTCTTATCTCAAAAATCCTTTCGGGCTCCGCCACAGGGGCTCTTTTGTTCCCCATGTTAACCTAATGAGAATTCATATTTAAAAGGAAAAGACAGCTGTTTCAACTATTTAAGTTGGTTCTATGATATGCAATAGCATTAAAAAGCTATAAGGTTTACCAACAGGGTGTTGCACTATTATTTTTTTACATTTATGGCAACAGATAATTTGAACTAAGCAGCAACAAAAAACTGTGATATGCAAAGAGAACTGTCAAAGTAGGATTATTTACAGTAATGTTTATGTGTTTAATTAAATTAATAATTTGTGATACTGTGCAAATGTTTGATAGTTTATTTTTTCTGTGGTTTAGGTGCACTGGTGAAACATTATGGCTATGGTATATGTGTTATACTATAGCATACCGTAAATTTAAAGAACCCATTTTTACCAAACTGTTTCAGCCTCCCCCATTGCAAACACAAAGTTTGAATATAACTGCAATAAGCATTTTATACTTATATCTTATATGCCAACCCCGTACGAAGGAAAGGTACTCTGCTAGTGATATTATAATTGTAACAAAATGCACATTTAAAATATTGTATAGTACGAAGTAATTGTTGCACGACAAGTTTAAACACACATTCTCTTATTTTATCTTATGAAAGTACGAGATAAAAATAACAGTTAACGTAAAAAGTTGGTAAAAACATTGTTTGAATCTTTACGACAAAGTGACAATATTTGCTAACCATTTGAACAACTCTGATAACGTTTAAAGCGGCGTCGTTTCTCGGAAGATGTTCGGTCTTTGTTTGTGTTGGCGCTAGAGGGCGAGTGGATTTGACAACGGAAAACTGTTATTTAGCAAACACTTTACTAACATTACTGTTGTAGCTCAGCAAAAGTAGCAACTTGTGTTTGTATAACTAGTTGTTGTAAATCTGTGTCCTGAGAAAACATTCAACAATTGACTTTATATCTACACAGATGTAAAGATGTATATATAAATGTGTAGATAAATGTGTCGATATAAAGTCAATCATTCAACTAAGTGCCTTTTCTAACAATTATTATTTTGTGTCGTTCTGAAAATCTTAAAGTTTACAATTGCGTGGTTAACAATATTTTCCTACTTTATTTTTAAAATGTGGACATCTTTGCACTGATTACAATACGAAAAATAGATGATTCATTCTTCCACTTTTCCACACTCGTCTTTGACTTATGCTCAGACGTTTCTATCGAATGCAACATTTTTGCACACTAATAACACAAACAATGGATCGTGATCATAAAAATAATATTCTAGCCGATGCTACATACTATACACACCGTATCCTTAAACAAGTATATCTCCAGATCCACAAGGCCTAGGGATAGATTTTTGAGTTTAGAATTTTCAAAAATATTGAGTTTTTCTAATTTGTAAATTATTCCCAGTTTCAAGAACGAATGATAATTGGTTTATCTTATGGTGGCCAGGTTCTTGAAAATTGTAGACTTCTTGACGATGCAACAATTAGCCACAAGTGTGGCATCTTCAGGAGCAAAGTTTATCACATTACTAAACACAAACACTATCTTACTATTTACAGTTATTTACATTTTTCCGATTTACAGTCCGACCAAGAATATGAATAATTGTAAATAGTAAAATAGTGTTTGTGTTAAGTAATGTGATAAACTTTGCTCCTGACGATGAGTGCACTTTTGGAGAATTGTGCATCGAGCAAGAAATCTTTGAGCAAGAAGTCAATTTTCAAGAACCTGGCAACCATAAGGTAATATTATATTACGTTACTTGTCCTGGAAATAGGTGTTCCATACGAGTCCGGTAAACATATTTTGGACGAGTGACGTACGATATTTTGCGCCATACTAATAAATCTGTACAAATCCTTATATATTACCAACGACTAAAGGACTAACAACCACTAGTCATAAATTCTAAGAGAGGTTATGGTTTTGTTTACAGCCACTCATTGTCAAATACAGTATAATCAGCTGGTTAGTGTCTAGTAAACACTCATTACAGTACATTAGTACGTAATGAAACCCTATTTGATTAAGCTGGCGGCAAACAGCTGTTTTCTGGGCTAAATCATTGTATGGGAAGTTCGTCAAAATAGTGTAGTGTGGCGTAAACCAATTCATTGAGTTTTGCGTAAAGCACAGACGTACTTTTTAGTTACAACTCGATACGAGCTGTCACTTTTTCCACTTGCACAGCTAAAGGAAGAACCATATATTTTTATTTAAATTATTGTCTTGCCCCTATTATTGTATTATGTCAAATTATTACCACCCAAATGTCTAATTCTGCTTCTTTGGGTCCAGACATGATGAGATAGAAAGCGTGTATATGTCTGATACTGTACAATATAGGAAACCAAAAGTAGGCTACAAAAGTAAAAAATAAGACTGTTTTGTAGTCAGAGCAAAACACGCTAACAAAAACCAATGAATTGATGTGACGTTAATAAACGTTATGCAATTAAAGTATTTGAAAAGGGATAAACAAAGAAATCGACAGTAAATTTCATTAAGTCTAATAATCAACAGAAGACGCATCTAGTGTTTATAGGATAAAGAGTTCCAAGTACTGCTTCTTGTAACAATAAACCCTTCAATGGTAATTGGCAAACGTGTACTTCAACTTCTATTTACTTTGTGATGTTTCTCTAGTTGTACACCAATTAATAATGCTAGTTTCGCTAAATTTCTACGGTATACTTTTCATAGTAGGTACATTTATATAGTAGAAACTAAGTGTCTTCATGATTATTATCCATGAGATTTAATGGTATTAATAATTTTATGGTAAACTTAGTTATCCATTCGTTGACACTGTCTTTACGCAATCGTCGCGTAAACTACTATTTTCCGAATTATAATCAGACGTGTAATCCAAAATAACTGTTGAAAACTGTTGTACAATTTTAAATTTTGAATGGCATACCAAAATTCAATAAGAGATAATATAAAATCTTGATGAACGAATACTTTCATAGATGCTCATTCACCACCTCTATAAACTCCGACTACAGCTAGTTCGAATATATTGCACGTAGTTTGCAATTTAAGCTCTAGTGCGATTGTCAAAAGGTTACTAAAGGGGCAGAATAAAACTCATTTCGAGAACCATTCCACCAAGAAGTTTTGTTTGATGGATTGAATCTGACAAGGCCTGCTGGAGTAGATTCTTGTCCAGATTCTATTTCAATCGTAATTAATTTTGATGTTCCCACATTTGATATTTCGAAACTTTTTTTATCTGATGAGAAACCCATTTACAGTTCCAAATTACTTAGTGAATTAGAAAACCATACTAACACTTTTCACTCAAGCAGATTACATGTACAGAAAATATTTTACATTTAACATGGCCGGGCCCTTTTCAGAGCCTGGGCTCCGGGGCTCTGGCCCCCCTCCTGTCCCATCCTCTAGCCGTCCCTGTTCAGTGTACAAATCGTGGTCAATCGTTGCTAATATATTTTCCTTATTATAAATTATTTGTGCTAAAGGAATAAACAATCATGAAATAAAGAAAAATATTATTAGAAAATAAAGTATATTCCATACATAAGCATTTTCTTACAAAAGGTAAATTCTGCGTACATAAATAGTTGAAAATTTCAGAAAATGGAATAACTTGTAAATTCTTATTTATCTCAGCCGAAATATTAATTATCTTATTGGTTGAACATCAGCTGATTCAGCATTTATTGTTGTCATAATGCACCAAGTCCTGGTAGGTAGATGTTTATGTACAAGAATAAACAGTTAAAACACTGAAAAAAGACAGTAAAAAAAACATGATAAAAGTCATAAAAATTGAAAATGTTTCAACTTGTAAAATTTAATTATATCTTCTTCTTTTGTGTAGACAAAATGTATCCTGCACAAAGTTTTCCTTTTGTTCTTGTAACCTTGAAAGGGTCTGATGGTAGTATCAAAGTTTTACACTCACAGGCAAGTCTCAGACGGTGGTTGGTTCTATCACAGGCTTCCTTCTGTGTCCTTGGTCACATGACTTGCGCATGTGGTAGTACGTGATCCTCCCACTCACAGGTAAGTCTCAGACGGTGGTTGGTTCTATCACAGGCTTCCTTCTGTGTCCTTGGTCACATGACTTGCGCATGTGGTAGTACGTGATCCTCCCACTCACAGGTAAGTCTCAGACGGTGGTTGGTTCTATCACAGGGTTCCTTATGAGTCCTTGGTCACATGATTTACTCATGTGGTAGTACGTGAGCCTCACACTCACAGGTAAGTCTCAGACGGTGGTTGGTTCTATCACAGGGTTCCTTATGAGTCCTTGGTCACATGATTTACTCATGTGGTAGTACGTGAGCCTCCCGCTCACAGGTAAGTCTCAGACGGTGGTTGGTTATATCACAGGCTTCCTTCTGTGTCCTTGGTCACATGATTTACTCATGTGGTAGTACGTGAGCCTCCCGCTCACAGGTAAGTCTCAGACGGTGGTTGGTTCTATCACAGGCTTCCTTCTGTGTCCTTGGTCACATGATTTACTCATGTGGTAGTACGTGAGCCTCCCGCTCACAGGTAAGTCTCAGACGGTGGTTGGTTCTATCACAGGCTTCCTTCTGTGTCCTTGGTCACATGATTTGAGCATGTGGTAGTACGTGATCCTCCCACTCACAGGTAAGTCTCAGACGGTGGTTGGTTCTATCACAGGGTTCTTCTGTGTCCTTGGTCACATGATTTACTCATGTGGTAGTACGTGAGCCTCCCGCTCACAGGGAAGTCTCAGACGGTGGTTGGTTCTATCACAGGCTTCCTTCTGTGTCCTTGGTCACATGATTTACTCATGTGGTAGTACGTGAGCCTCCCGCTCACAGGTAAGTCTCAGACGGTGGTTGGTTCTATCACAGGCTTCCTTCTGAGTCCTTGGTCACATGATTTACTCATGTGGTAGTATGTGAGCCTCCCGCTCACAGGTAAGTCTCAGACGGTGGCAGGCCCTGTCACAGCGGGTGTAGGGTTCGCAGCTGCGTGCCTGTTGTTCGCTGAGGCTGGCTGAGCACGTAGCAGCGCCGATGAGGGCTGTGGTAGGAAGCGTATCCACTCGACGACGTGGCGCTGCGATTCTGAAACCGAAAAAAGCAAACCAAAAGAAACAAAACCGTACAGCACGTTCACAAAAATACCAGATGCAAGAGAACAATTTCGTTTGTTTGTTATGTAAGTTTTTTCTGGGAAGATAATGTTTTCGCGTTTTAATTCGCTTGAAAATCATTTTACTTCATTACAAACGTTTCTGAGAACTTCCCAAAGGTAACAAAAAAATCTACTACAAAGAATCAATTCTTGAAAACTATTAAATCTATTTTTAATAATTAGTGATTTTTAATTTGTTGTATGTTTAGAATGGTTAGTAATATATATGATTTAATTGCCATACCTAATTTAAATTCGACATACCACCATCTAATTAGCAGCCCTTCATTTTCTTAATCATATTCCCTATTGGTTAAAAAAGTGTTCCACCAATTAATGATTTATGTTATAACTTAGTGACCCGCTGCTGTAAAATGGGGTTCTCGGTGTTACAGTAGTCATACCACTACATTAATCATGGGCAATTTCAAAGACGTAAGCAAGAAAACCCACGCTTTAATCATCCTACTTGCATTATTACAATGCTATGTGCGGCTAAGGAATACAGAGACTTCTACCCATAACTTCAACCAAAGGTAGTTTATAATTTTCCTATTATATGTGAGCTTATTTCACCCTTCAAATATAAAATTATGTTGAAAAATGGGACAGAATTAAGATTTCTATACTGGGTGTAAAGAGTCGCAAAACAATTTATTCTTATATTCGTAGTACTGATAAATAGGAAAGTGGTTGTTTAGCTATATGTTGGAAATGCATCTTACTTTTATCCTCTGTCGTGGGCGAGGTCTAGAGATGCCTGTCTGGCAGAAGAGACTCCGGACTGTGCGGCGGAAGTTGCGAGTCATGAAGCAATACAGGAGAGGGTTGATGGCAGAGTTAGCGTGTCCTAGCAGCAGTGTGAAGGGGAACAGCTTCATAAGCGTCTCCTGTCAAAGAAAATAAATGCAAAATAGTGAAACAGGTGAGTTAAAAATTATGTAAAAAAGAGGCTGTTCCTGATCATTGGGTTTAAATAAATTATCCTGACTAATGAAACAGCTGATCTTAGTCAGTAACAATGCTACACAGATCATCTCACTTCATTCTACACTCATCCTTCACTCATATTTGGGTTAATATACCACATATGACATCAAGGTGACATAACATCTCAATTTTTGGTGTGTTGCCTAATTCAATTCTAACTTAGCCTTATCAATCAGTTGCGTATTTCAAGCAGATGAATGCAAGAGTGACCTGAGGCAAGCCGACGGTCGGCAACGTCAGATCAAGGTCCAGGAGAAGTGACAGGAGGTTGTAGGGCAGCCAGCAGAGAGCGAACAGAATCGCGAGTAGCAGCAGAATACGCGCCACCCTTCTCCTTTCTCGTACGAGGCGAACCTGGAGAACAGTCAGAATTTCAACAACCAATACACCATACAGTTTTGTTTTGAGAACATCAAAAGAATGTCGTATTCCTGTGTTAAACACCCTCATTCAGCTTCAAAGTATTGGAGATAGTTACCTGCTGATTGCTAGCGCTGCCATCGTCCTTATCAAACGGTGGTCGCACCACCCAGAGTTTCCGACCCATCAGTGTGTAGGCCAGGATCACCACACACCCTGGCGTCAGGTAGACCAGCACGAAGCACAACACTCCTAAAAAACAAAGTATTGACTGTGATGTTTCGCAGGTACACAAATAGTAGGTACTTTTGTTAATATAACGACCACGCCTAATAATTATAACCTAACCTAAGGATAGACTCTGTTTTAGGTTAGGTCAACTTAGGAGAAAATGTAGTAAGATTTTGTTATATAAACTAATCAAAATCTGATTTTGAAATAGATTTCATTATAGACAGTAACCAAAGTACCTAATAATATATTATTCGAAATCAATTGCTAACCTTGTCACATGTCCAACAGGCTCTCTAAAGTTAATGTTACCCAGTTTCAAGAACTTTCTATTTAGTTTACTTGTATTTTGATGGATGCCTTGTGTTCCAATAAGTTCACGGATGCGCATTTCGCCAGGGTGAGGCATTTTCACAGTTACACTAATATAAAACTTACTTTCTAATATTTACAAAAGTTTGTGAGCCACTGTAGCTAACATAACTAATGTTATAAGCGTGGTACGGGAGATTTACTTCTCACTGACAGTGTCAGGGGTGTGAACGGTCTGGGGCGTGGGTTTCCCCAATTGTTGTACCTGTGATGTTGCCAGTTTTACAATGTTGCCAGATCATGGACTCAGTTTTTATTTCATAGTTTGAAAAATAATGTAACTGTTGAAACCTTCTGTAATTTTTATCAGGCTATCAGGTTCAGATTATACCAACACGTAACCGAATCTGGGCCTGATATATTAGAGGAAATAATTTCGTGTTAGGAAATAAAACTTTAAGGTGAAGACAGTCAACCTAGCCTCAGCAAGAGTAGCTCTTTCATTTGAGAATACTTTAACTGTAATGGAGAACTCTTTGATCATAGTTACCATAGGCCCGCCTCGAGCGGTGAGACCAGTCCTCTATACACCAGGTGAGGCTGTATTTCTTGACAGCAGCTGACAGGAGAGGATCGTCCCCCAGGTCTACCAACTCTGTCTCTCGGACCCACAGCACAGGCAGGAATATAGTCAGAGACACCACCCACAGGAACAGTATCATCTGGGAAACGTTACTGTTAGTTTTTAAAAATCAAGGCAATTGTTTTGCCACTTGTTAGTTAATCTCAGGGAGAAAAAATTGTTAGTAGTACTCGCACACTTAATTCTGTTCAACATTATGAATTTATTCTGTAATCCATGACAAATTCAACAAACACTTGAACAACGTGAGGTCCACAGGTAGAAGAAATTTGAACCATCAATATTTGATAGTGCAATGTCGTCTCCTAGTCATGGAGACAAAACCTTAGACCGCTCGGCCTCTGATCAGTCCAAACTGTCCTCCACACTATGTACTATAGCACCGGCTAAGATAATAATTTATAAACTTGCCCACCCAGGCTGTGGGCTGCAGCGAAATGAAAATGGACTCAGAGAGGCTATGCTTAATTTGTTTCATATCTTTTTTCTCCCACAAAATAATAACATAATTTAATTAGCTGTGTTTGAAGAACAATGACAGTTTAATTAAATCAGGAGATCCCAACGACTACTATGCACCACCGGTTGGATGATAAATTACTGTTAATTAAGTCCAGTTAACATTCCCTGCTTTAACTCGCTTTAGTTAACATCTGTGCAGGAAATTAAAACTGAACGTAGATATGAATATTCTGCAGAGCATGATTGTGGCAAAACGTAATTTAGCGCAGTTGTAGTATTGATTTATTTTATGTACATTGTTTATTACTGTAATGCTCTTTTTAAGTCCTCTATCAAAATGCATGTTGTCGAAAATAGTAACATGTTTTAAGTTTTGGCAATGATATTTTAATACTTTTTGCCCAAAAGATGTTCGACCAAAACTCATAAGGATGCGTTACTGACGGTTACTTAATAAGCCCGTTGGCCACGCAATGTGGTATGAGCTGCGAAAGACATATTTTTAACAAGCATAGCAGGTTCAACAGGACAAACTGCATTGATTATGTCTTCTTGATATAACTAATAAAAGTAAAACTCAAGGCTTTTTAGTTTTATCTATTATGGTGCTTGATGTTGGCATATTCAATTCAACCCAATATATATTTTTTAATATTAATATATTTTTTAAATCGGATTGACGACGTAGATTTCGAATAGATATTTTAAAACCCGTTTTACAAAGTTTTATTAAGGATATTAAAATTATCAACAACACATTTTACTCGACAGTTTGGCAACATATTATAGCTATTTACCTTACAAGTGTAGTAAGAGCGTCTTTACATGACACACACACAGGTGAATGTTGTGCAACCAGCGGAAGCGAGTTGCATAATTACCTAAGTGATGTAAACACGCTCTTTTAAACACGTAAAACACGTACAAGATTTTACCTGACCCAACAATATACAGGAGGTTACGAACAATATTTTTCACTATCCATTTCACTCATCTTCTAGCAGTAACGTTCATTTACAAATAAAAGCTAGGTTAGGAAAATTCTTCAAAACATAACAATAAAATTCAAGCGCACAACTGATTTCTAGCGTTGAACGGTCGTTGGCTCCATAGAGGTATATTTTTTAAGTTAAGCACTCAATGTTATTTAAACGGGTTTCATTACCTCACCGAGTGAGTTTTTTCAACTTTACATCACTCGAGAAGTAAGGAAATTGTATACATCACGCTTGGGATAGGGAAGTTTAACATGGCGGGTTAGGTAAAAAAATATTTTAAAGAAATAAATTAAAGTAATAACAGATAATCTTTAAAAATACTTCTTACAATATTAAAAAAGGCAAAGATTGTTCAAGTTGATTTCTACCCTTACTAAGTTTCTTTGTCGAAAAAAAAAACAACGATGAAGGCTGACCTACTGCAGTGCAGACGACACATCTCAGATATTTCCCATGTGAATGACAACAGCTGATCCGTTAGTCCTCAAAGATCATAAATTATTTGTGGTACAAACGTTCAAAACTTGGATTGGATTTCTTAATTGGGTATTGACGTTTGGATCTCTATACACAAAGAGTCCATGTGCAGTTAGATTAATTATTAATAAAAGGAGGACTACCTTTTATTGTATACACTACATTACTATATTTGAAAAAACTAAAATATCATAGTAAATCAAAAAGTAATTAAAAGGAAAAATACAAACCAAAATTCTCAAGGTTTTTTAATTTTTGGTTCCCTCTAAACTTTTTAATATATTAGATCTATTTGTATACCTCTTAGATCTTGGTGGTTTACCTCTTTAAACTCGTGCATTACTATCTGTCTACCTCTTTATCTTGATAGTCGCAACTGGTTTACCTCTTTAAAATCGTGCATCACTATCAGTTTACTTCTTTATCTTGATAGTCGCAACCGGTTTACCAATTTAAACTTGTGCATCACTATCAGTCTACCTCTTTCATCTTGATAGTCGCAACCATTTTACCTCTTTAAACTCGTATATCACCATCAGTCTACCTCTTTATCTTGATAGTCGCAACCGGTTTACCAATTTAAACTTATGCATCACTATCAGTCTACCTCTGTCATCTTGATAGTCGCAACCAGTTTACCTCTTTAAACTAGTATATCACCATCAGTCTACCTCTTTATCATGATAGTCGCAACCGATTTACCAATTTAAACCCGTGCATCACTATCAGTTTACCTCATTAAAGTCACAACAGGTTTACGTCTTTAAACTCGTTCATCACTACCAGTTAACTTTTTGAATATACTAACAGGTTTAACCTCTTCATCCTTATACATCACTTTTAGTTTACCTCTTCAATTTTTACGGTCACAACAGGTTTACTTCTTTAATCTTGACAGTCACAACAGTTTGTTTCTCTTTATCCTCATTCGTCACTCTCAGTTTACCTCTTTAATCTAAAGTCGCAATCGGTTACTTCTTTCACTTCACTCAGCTAGACTAATTAACTGCATACATAGACTATTAGTATACCTTTTTACTGTTGCACATAAAATATCAGATTAGGTTGTACGATCAGCTTAATTTGTAGGTAAGTAGGTGCTAACACATGATGGAGGAGTTACTTACAAATATGGTGGATTTGCGGTTGAACACCTTTCTGAAAGCCATGGAGTGTCGGATAGCAAGGTATCTGTCGATACTCATAGCGGTGATGGTAAATACACTCGCACCAACACTCACGCCTACAAATAAAAACTTATTATATACAATTATAAAACTTTCTTGACTACTTACACACATAAATTAAAAACATAAACAAAATTAAATTTTAAATTTTAACAACATTTTAAATTTTAACAACATAATGTAAAATAATACATGAATGTTGAAAGTTCATACTGCTTCAGATCTGATTCGATTTACGTTTAAATCCACTACGATTGTTTGTCGGAATTCCCTTGAAGGAGATCAATTATTTATAATATGATCATTACATGGGAATGAAACTTTGATATAAAATTACACTTCAAACACAATTACTTCAATTTTCATGACACGGACTATTCTTAGTTTGGGTCTTTTCAAGAAGACTGCCACAGATAGTGCACTGCAGAGTTTTGGCTAGGTTAGGTTGTTTTAGGTTAGGTTAGGTTGGTTTAGTTTACATTATTACGATGACAAACAAGACACAATCTATTAAACACACGAATAGGACACGTACAAATTTAAGCTTTTGTAACGTCTCCTCTTTACTAAACATGACCACTTTTTTGCAAATATTACATTTCTTATCATTATCATAAACTAAACTGAACTAAAAACTACTCAAGCTGTACCTACCTCACCTAACCTCCGCGCACTGTGAAAGATTAGCGGTCCTCTTCTAAGAAAAGACACCTTAGTTCTTGCACAGATAAGTAAGGTACAGAGGAAACATGCTTATAGGAAACCGTGCACTTACAGCTCTGGTATGGAACGGAAATATACTTGTGACGAGCAAGGAAGAAGCCTGCCTGCCGAGTCCGACCGGTGATCACTGTGAGGATATTCCTATAGCACAGGACACAGGGTGTTCCTCCATCGTGCGTTGTAGTGCGCGAGAGTGAGGGGGCGGTTCGATACTTTGCTCTAGACACCAGCGCTAGTGCTAGACACCACTTAAGTTTAAAGAAGTATATCCTCTGATCCTTACTTCTCTGTGGTTCTCGTTAAGAGTCCTTGGAGCCTAGACGTTCTTAACTCATAAAACTACAAAGAAAATTTCTGACCTCACAGTCTCCTAGATAGTTAAATTATAATCACTTTGGTGTTTGAAAAACAATTTTTGGGTGATAATTTAATCATCAGCAGCTTTTACATTTAGTTAGTCATGCACTAAAATAGTTTAATAATATTATTAACCGATTCACCTTGTAAGTATGACGTCAGCTTGCACATAGTCTCCCCATAGAGCCAAAGCCCTGTGACGGACTGAGCCACAGCCATCGGCATACAAATAAACGTCACCAGAAGATCTGCTACTGACAGGTTCACCAAGAAGTAGTTGGTCACACTGTAAGTAGAACAAAGATATTTCAAGTTTGTTCCAAGGAAGATAAGGTGTGTTTACAAGACATCAGTACTACGTTTACAATTTTTTCTGTCCTAAGACGCTAGGCACGAGTCTGGGATTGTTTTTCACATTTCTTCAGGCTAGACCTAGGGGTGGATAAAATACATTGGTGATTTGGTGGGATTTGAACGCAGGACCTTAGAGACCGAAGTCCCGCACTCAAGCCAATAGACCAGCTCACTCCCTCACTACGTTTACTAATAAATATTATCAGATGATTCAATGCATTGCCTCTGTTATCGCTGGGTAATAAGGCTACGTACAATGAGTTACACAATAAAAGTAGTCCCACTCATCGTCATTTCAATTGAAAGTATTAAGTAAGTATTACATTATTGCATCATCGTTTTGCTTTTAACAAGCTTCACCTTCAGATACGCTATTCTAACTAATCTCAACGTAATTCAGAATATTGCGACATAATCTGCTTATACAGTTTGTTAGCCTTTGTGCAATCGTGCAATGCTCACACGATATTAAAAAACCAGTTTCTATTAGAAACATGGTGTCTTAATTCCCTTGCCCAGTTTCGTGATATCTAAGTGTCAAAACAACTCGTACCGTTCCTTTATGTTGTATCATTTGCTTTAATGAATACTAGGGGAAACCCGTCGAAATCGACGGTTACTATTGAGGGTTTATAGCTAACTTCAGCTAACTGCGGTGATAGAGTGAAAATCCTATTTAAATTAAGGGAGGATAAGCATACAGTAATAATTAATATGAGATTGCGTAACTACCTTCAATAACGTGGTTGGCTTTAGGTTGCCCAACAGGTTTTTTTTGGGGTCTTATAATAATTGTTTCTTGTTCATAAGTTTTGTATTCACAATCAAACTTTACCAGTTAATCTCGCATTCATCAAACAGCATTGGATTGGATCTCTTCACAAACATGTAAACTTCCGTAGTTTATTCTAGAATTTTGTCTGATGATGCTTGATTGTACAGAATCATTATGCAAAAATGTATGTATATTGTAAACATAATCATTATGGATGGCTAATAAATGTATGTATAGTGTAAACAGAATCATTATGGATAGCTAATAAATGTATGTATATTGTAAACATAATCATTATGGATAGCTAATAAATGTATGTATATTGTAATCATAATCATTATGGATAGCTAATAAATGTATGTATATTGTAAACATAATCATTATGGATAGCTAATGAATGTATGTATATTGTAAACATAATCATTATGGATAGCTAATAAATGTATGTATATTGTAATCAGAATCATTATGGATAGCTAATAAATGTATGTATATTGTAAACAGAATCATTATGGATAGATAATAAATGTATGTATAATGTAAACAGAATCATTATGGATAGCTAATAAATGTATTAATATTGTAAACAGAATCATTATGGATAGCTAATAAATGGCATTACCTGTTCATAGCTGCACTTGATTGTAATCAAGTCCTTTGATAAAATAAAAAGGGCAACTAACTGTAGTTAGCAATGCATTTAGTAAAGTGGCATCTACCTGCGCATATAGTGGTACTTGAAGACGACGATGATGATAAGAGAGTTAGCAGCAGCAGCTATCAGGAAGAGCGGCAGATAGCAGGATATCAGCACGATGTGGCGAGGTTCGGTGTACCTCAGCTGAGATTTGCTGAACTCCCTGATCAGCTGATCGATCAGCTGGTTGGTTGTCTCATTGTCGCCCAGCTGGTAAATGTCTTCTTGATCGCTGCAGTTCATCTTGGTTTACGTCACTTCTTGATTTCAGACATGTTTTTTCTCCTGAATTAATAACATTGGTTGATTCATAGTAACTTATATTTAAGTCTAATTTCTAGCTGTGGAACCAACTACTGTGCAACATTTTCCATAGTTCAAATTGTTTTTAGAAGTGGCCTAGAAAATGACCAATTGTAAACTATTGCGCATTTCAAATAATTCTCGCTTGACTTTGGTAAATGTAACTTGGAAGGTGTAATAATTTTAGACACAGTTTTGTGCTTACACGTTTAATAATTTGGATATATTTTGTATATAAAGTAGTAAACATACGATGGCGTAAAACTATCCAAACAGCTCATAGATGCCATATTAAACCGATTTTGCTGGTTCGAAAACTCATTCGAGTGTATAAAAAACATAATAAAATAGACTGGGACGGTGGCGACGTCCTGTAATCCAGCTACTAGAAGGTCACGAATTGTGGATATTTATAGGCATGCACTGTGGATACGATACTCCCTGGTGTGGATTAACGTCCGCACTAGTGAGTATTACGACTGTCCGCAGTATTATCCTGATAGTTAGACCAATTCGTTAATACCAAGGCAAAAATGTGGTTCAGATTCAACTATAAACTGTAGGTCCCTTAGTTGCCATTAGCTGTATGGGCTATTAATTTACAGCTGTGTCTAAGGAATATATCGGCCTTAGTCACTAACAAGACTACAACATCCTGCCACTCATCCTACCATCATCTCCATTCATACTTGGCTCAAAATATACCTAATTTGTATGGTCCATTTCATTGAAAAGTATTAAAATATCAAAACTTCTTTGAGTAATCGTGTTTCTTAATTTTTTTTAACTAATATTGTTTTTTTTTTACTCTGCGAACGTCACAATATAAAAGTAATTTGGTCCCTGGTCTAGATCCTACCACGAGATCAAAGGTAATAGTGAGCTACTTGCCTATAGGTAAATCCGCTAAAACAAAATATATTTTTATAAAAGCGGGCGTTCTTACTGGTTAAACTAGATCATATTGCCTGTTGACAATTGAGTGCAATTTTAAGACTGGTTTTAAAATTTAAACGCAATCTCTAAAACCTATCTGCAGAGAAGTAGGTATTGTCTAAATTTTTCATATTATTTCCCAGCTGGAAACCGAATCTGTCTGTAAAAATGAGTTGAATTGGAACAGAAATAGACGCGCTGAAGAATATAACACAACCTCTCGGTTCTACGGACACCCAATCAAAAGTGTTAGCTGTGTCAGTTGGAGCGGGCTAATTGTATATCGATTCCATTGCGCAATAAGTTGAGCCTGAAGATCTTTACGCTCAGACAGTTCTTGAGTGGCAGCAAAAATGTAATATCTTGCCAAAGAGTTGCAATAGTTTACACGATAGCAGAGTGCTGTTTAGTAAAAATTATTGGGTTTTAATTTTGATTTTGAACCTTAGGTAAGTGATGTATTATTAATTCATTGTCTGTGTTGATCATAAATTTATTAATTACGTCTTTATTATGAATAACTTTTTCTACATTCCACACCACTTAACCACTTACAGTAAAGTTAGGATGAAAAACAAATTTCTTTGGTGTAGCCTATAAACTAATTTATAATGAAATTAGTTTTACATAAAGGTAATGCAATCTACTGACTAAGTTCAATTTTAAATGAAACCGTGTACACAAACTTTCAACAATTCATTAAGACTGCTTCTAAAGAATAGATTAAGATTTATAATATCTTTAACTAAGGGTTTATAAATCTACAATAATTAAGGTAACCCATAAATGTACCGAGTGTGGTCGCTCCCGTGCGAGACAGAGTCGAGTACGGGATTGCCATACGAGTCCAGTACACACATTTTGGACGAGTTACGTACGATAGTTTACGGCATACTAATAAATCTGTACAAATCCTTATATATTTCCACCAACTAAAGGACTAAAAATCTCTAGTCATAACCTCTAAGAGAGGTTATGTTTTTGTTTATAACCACTCATTGCCACATAAATACAGTATAATCAGCTGATTGGTGTCCGGTAAAACTCATTACAGTACAGTAGTACGCAATGAAACCCCATTTGAATAAGCTGGGGGCAAACAGCTGTTTTGTGGACTATATCCTTGCGTGAGAAGTTCGTCAAAATAATGTAGTGTGGCGTAAAAAATAGTTTAACCTTTTATGGTCTTTTACCCAACCCGCCACGTTAAACTTCCCTATCCCAAGCGTGATGTATATAACTTCGTTACTTCTCGAGTGATGTAAAGTTGAAAAAAAAAACTCACTCGGTGATGTAATGAAACCCATTTAAATAACATTGAGTGCTTAACTTAAAAAATATACCTCTATGGAGCCAACGACGTTCAACGCTAGAAATCAGCTGTGCGCTTGAATTTTATTGTTATGTTTTGAAGAATTTTCCTAACCTAGCTTTTGTTTGTAAATGAACGTTACCGTTACTGTTAGAAGATGAGTGAAATGGATAATAAAAAATATTGTTCGTAACCTCCTGTATATTGTCGGGTCAGGTAAAATCTTGTACGTTACGCGTTACGCAAGAGCGTGTTTACATCACTTCGGTGAATTATGCAACTCGCTTCCGCTCGTTGCACAACATTCACCTGCGTGATGTAAAAACGCTCTTACTACACTTGTAAGGTAAATAGCTATAATACTATATTTTAAATCAGTATTAACTGTTATCATTGACTATATATACCTATAGTCAGGTATATACCTACTAGCAACAGAGCCCGTTGTAGTTAATAAATACAACGGTCCCTAGAAAGTACAGTAGTACATAATTTATGCCCTTGTAAGTACCTGAACATTTTTTAAAGAATGAAATTGTTTAGAAAATAAACTGATTTTCTAAAAGAGTAAAATAATGAAAAACAAATACAATTTTACAAAAATATTTTATTTACAGTATTTCTTTGTAAACAACATTCTTTGTAAAGACTTCATCTGATTGTTTTAATAATCTTCCTTGTTCTTTGCCAGGGATAATTTTAATTTTTATGTCTTCAAACCTTTTAACCCTTGATATTGCAACATACAATTAATTGTCCATGGCTGAATACTGTTGCTTGAAGGTATATCCCAACTTTATCCAATGTCTGGCCTTGCGCTATGTTTATTGTAATAGCAAACGCTAATTTTAAAGGAAATTGCCGTCTTTTTAAAACAAATGGTAAATCTGTGTCCGTCTGTGCTAAGTCAATCCTTGGAATGAATACAATTTCACGTGCTGCTGATCCAGTTAAAACCTCTGCAATTATTTAATTGGGCTTGAGTTCTTCAACAATTAATCGTGTGCCATTACATAACCCCCGTTTTGTGTTAAGATTTCGTAGCAACATTCTCCAATTTTTAAATTTAATTTGTGTATTGACATTCCCAATACACAAATTAAGGAGGTTGAGGAAGTTGCATCATCTCTGAGTGAAGTGTTGGTCAGACTATCTTGTTCTGTTTCTTTTTCATTTTCTGGTTCTCCATCCTTTTGATTGCTTGATAAACACTTTTTTACCCCTTGGAGTAAATCTTTATCTATACTATAATTTGGTTTCTTCAATTTATTTTTATGAGCTGTTGATTCACGTCTGCCAGAACATGTTTTACTTTTTATATATTTTTGATGCACGGCCACGTTTTGATTTTGGTAAGATTATATCCTCTTGATGCCCAGCATCCACATTTCCTGAGAATCGTAGTTTATAGATCGTTGTGCCTTCACCAACCGTTACAAAATAATCCAATTTCTCAGCATATATTTTGAATTGGCAGTCAAAAACTCTTGCTGCAGCTTCGATTTCGACATTACCGGCGTATTCCCCATCTTTGGTCATCAAATTTCTGTATTGCTTCGCGTTTTTTACTTCTAGTCTATATGTCTTATCCCCTACGATCAAAGGACAATAGTAGTCCCAGTTATTGACGACTTCATCAACTACCGTGGATCGTATATCACTGTATCTGGATTGAGATTTATGGCATAAAAATGAGAAACTTCTGAAGAAACAGTTTCCATCACCAACCATGTAGTCAAGAGTAAAGTTATTCATTTTTAAACTAATGTAAAATATTGAGTTTATAATTAACATTTCAAAATAACGAATATTAAATACTATTTTAAACTGTAAATTATAAATTAAATTTGAATAATTTATAATTGACAGTTTAAAATAATAATTTTTGGTTATGAAATCCATACATCACTTAACTTACCAATACTTGGTAATAATGGTACAGATTAAAAACATCACTTTAGAAACACACTTTACGGACCTCAACCACCAATTCAAATAGTAAACAACTAAATGCAAACAAAGAAAAATCAAGGAAATAACAATAAAACAATCAGCTGTTAAACTATATGTTAATACATGTGTTCCATATGATCAGATGATGCATACTGGCTAACCCATTATTACTACCATAATTCTTTTTAGATTATTCATACCGGCAAACGTATTACTACCATAAATAAATAAAACTCAAAATTTACTAATTATTTGGAAATCTACACAGATTTTATTGGTCTATTAATTAATAAAATCGGTCCAGTAGAACTGTAGATTTAGTTGTAGAAAGTTAACAAAAATCTCTCCAATTCAATATTCTCTCACCACAATAAATTAGGAGGCTGCTAAGCTTTTTTTCAAATAACTCTTAAACGGTGAGGAAATTGACCAAAGTGGAAGGTGATATTCTGAAAGAGAATAAAATTTGCTACAAAGTACTCTTAGGCGTTTTTTTGAAAATATTCAAAAAAGGCAACCTAAAGTTAACTATAAATTGAAATTTTAAAATATTAACTATAAAAAAATCTGTTTTAGTGTATTTTTGCTTTTTATTCTTTATTTACCACAAATATTTAATAAAATCAAACTTTCATAATTATTTGCAAATCTACACAAATAAGGCTTTTAAACGATACATTAGTTAACAAAATCGGTCCAGTAGAAGTCTAGATTTAGTTGTACAAAGTTTAACAAAAATATCCCTAATTCAGTA